GCACCTGAAGGCAGGACAAGAAGCAACGGATGGAAACTCATCAAGGAGAGAAGCAACCTAGAACTAAGGAGCAATTCCTGAAAATTAAGAACAATTAATCACTGGAACGTTTACCCTCCAGAATGTGTGGGTATCCGAACACTGGAGGTTTTTACAGAAGAGTTTGCATAGTACAAGGCAATGGTGACGAACCTATGCCCTCTCTGTGGGCACACGTGCCATTGCCCCAGCCTTGCCCCCCCGTGACCCCCCTCACACAGAAGCCCCGTGGAGGAGTTGCCCTAAGCGTGGCCCACGCGGAGCAGCGCAGCCAAGGCCAGGCGCCAGGCAGCGTTAGACAAGACTCTACCCACACGCCCCATCATGCACAGTGATGCTGCGGGCGCAAGCAGAGGGTTGTGGCCCTGGGCTGCCTGGGTGATCTGCGGTGGCCTTGGAGGCGGTGAGTGCCCTGCGGGTAGCGGGGGTGGGGGCGAGGCAGGGGGTGGAACAGGGGAGTGGGACCAGTTGTTGGGCATTTGGTCTCTAAAAGGTTCGCCATCACTGGTACGGGTCCCCTGCTTCGGCAGGGGGTTGGACAGATGACCTCCAAGGTCCCTTCTGTTATTCTGCTATTCAGTTATTCTCGTTAAGTTCATTTAACTGACTTTCCCTGCACAGTAATGGAGGCAAGATATTTGTCCTATCCAGTAAACTTTACTGTACTTCCTTGGGTGAGTAAGTACAAATTTGTAACTTTGAGTTCTAGCTTCCCTCTTTGCCTGACAGAATGCTTTTGAACTGGGAACGTTCTCAATAAATCCTAATCAAATGATCTTCCTGTCCTGGATTGCTTAATAGCGCGTGCCGGAGGCAGGAGGCGAGATCCAGATTTGGGCAACCATTTCTCCTCGCTGGCCCCTTGCCTTCCCTGCCCCATTAGCTTTATTACTAGCCCCCTGCCTTCCCTGACCCCCCATTAGCTCCGCTCGATTCCCCTGGCTGGTACCCTACCTTCCACGATCCCATTAGCTCTGCTAGTGGCAGACCGTTCCGCTGAGTAATTGTTCTTCCAGTTCGGAAATTTCTCCTTAGTTCTAGGTTGTTTGTCTCCTTGATTAGTTTCCATCCGTTGCTTCTTGTCCTGACTTCAGGAGAATAGGTGGACCCCCCCACACCCCTTTTCTTTGTGGCAGCCCCTCAGATATTGGAAGGCTGCTGTAATGTCACCCCTGGTCCTTCTTTTGACCACAAGCCACTCAGATTCACTCCAAGCATCTCTTTGCAACTAGGAGTTCTGTTTTAGAGGCCGCCTCGCATATGTGATCATTATCCACTTTAACTATTGTGGAATTCTACAATCAGTCCTCCGCGTTTTAACGGGAGGAAAGCTGGCTGTGTTCACAACGACCAGGCCTTATTAAGTCACAGACCAAGCAGCTGCATTCACACCGCAACCAAGCTGCCTGAAACTGACTGGACCTTAATCAGAGTCGCTCCGAAGACTTTTGTTGTTCTAAAAAGGCCTGCACTGCTTGGGAAATGAATTTTTAATCCCTGCCTGTTTGTGAACAGTCACAATCTGTGACAGTTGATAAACGAGGAACTACCTTGATAGGAGAGGAAGAAGATTCTTTTAACTTGCTGAAATCATTTCAGCCGCCTCAAACTTTAACTCCCAGGAAAAATGGGGATCACTGATCCCTAGGGGTGCTGCGACCGGCATCAATACACATTGATTTGCAATACCTAAAGTCTGATCAAGTTACCCTGGAAATGCTGCAACAGTCATAAGTGTGAGGAATGGTCATAAGTAGCTTTCTCCCATGGTATTTTAACTTTAAATAGCCATGAAATGCTATTCTCTTCATTAGACTAGATATACCCAATTCCAGCAACTGTTCCTTATATCTTTTAGCCTCCAGTCCCCTGATCCTCTTTGTTGCTCTTCTCTGCACTCTTTCTAGAGTCTCGACATCTTTTTGACATCGTGGTGACCAAAACTGGATGCCATATTCCAAGTGTGGCCTTACTGAGGCCTTGTAAAGTGGTATTAACACTTCATGTGATCCTGATTCTATCCCTCTGTTAATGCAGCCCAGCACTGTGTTGGCTTTTTGGCAGCTGCAGCACACGGCTGGCTCCTATTTTAACTTTAAATCGTCATGAAATGCTACACTTCAAAGTAAAATAGCGACCTAGGACCTTGCTTCACACTTACAACCGTCATAGCATGTTCATTGTTACGTGATCAAGATTTGGGTGCATATATTTATGACCCTGGCAGTGTCTGAGGTCTGTCGTCCCATTTGTGGACTCCTGGGGTTTGGACTAGAACAGTGGTTTCTCAACTTTTTAATGCCGCGACCCCCCCCCAACCAGGTCGTAAGTCGAGGACTACTCAACCGGTCGTAAGTCGAGGATACTCAACTGGTGCATCACCTTTTCCAGAATGGGACTTTTGGGGGGGCTCAGAGGGCAGAGACAGCCTGGACAATTCCTATTGGCTTTTGAAAGCCAATAGAATTAGACTCTATTCAAGAGAGTCTATTCTATTGGCTTTCAAAAGCCAATAGAATAAAAGGGAGTAGTACAGCTAAGGAAAAGGGGGGAAAAAATGGCGGACTGCGTTGTTCGGCAACCCCTGTGAAATGGTCGTTCGACCCCAAATGGGGTCCCGACCCACAGGTTGAGAACCACTGGACTACAAGGTCTTGATCTTGTAAATTGTGGTCACATGACTGCAGGAACGGGGCAGGCGGTGGCCGAACACCCAAAATGCAGCCACGTCAGAATTTTGGAACAGGGTCGTAAATGCCACTTAGTGACCAGTCGTAAATCAAGGACTGCCCATATAACTACAAAAGAACCTCCTACCCCTACTTTACAGAAAGGTGAGGAGTTGTGGCCTTCAAGATTTTAGTAACAAAGCGCTTCACACCTCAAGGGACTTCTCGTCATAAACCACGCATGAACAAATTTGTCACACAATGCAAGAAGGCTTTTATTCATTTAGCGCTGGTTGGGGGTAGAGTATTTACATCTTATTCTTAAACGGTTGTAGGCTTTGGGTCACTTTAGGGCAGCTTCGAATTCTAAGCCCGTTACGCCAATGAAACGCCAGTCCTCTGACACCTTAATAAAATTGTGGTTTTCCTTCTTGCTTGTTTGCCAGGTGCACCAGTCGGAGAAGGAGATCTCCGTCCGAACTGTCCAACATGGTCAAATTCCTTTCCAGAGATATCCATCCTCTCTCGCCGTTCTTATGCCTGCAGGCAGCATTGATGACGCAGAGCTCTGTAAAAAGATGGGAAGGAGAAGAACCCGTTGAGTTTTGGCACTGCCTGCCATGCCTCCAAGGTCAGTCCCAGACAGGTAGTCAAGATGAACAAAGCATTTCCTAGCCCTCATTTGTGGGGTTTTAGCTACACAGCACCGTGGTGGGGTTTGGATGGTCCCCAACCCGTGGAGTTGTCTGAAATGGTATAGGGCAGTGGTGGCGAACTTATGGCACGGGTGCCAGAGGTGGTATTCAGAGCCTTCTCTGTGGGCACACGCACCGTCTCCCCAGTCCTGATCTATCTGGGAATAGATTGGTGTTTCTCAACCTTGACCACTTTAAGATGTGTGGTCTTCAACTCCCAGAATTCTGGGTGTTGAAGTGACCACGGTTGTGGAAACACTCAACTAGGTAATGCTGTTTTTCATTCTGGGCCAATGGACAAAATAAAATGGCTGCTATTTCTGTCACAGCCAGTTTGTCTATTGGACTTATTATAGGGAGCTGAAAAACCTGATCATGCAGTAGAAAAAATGCCAATACGAGCAATCCTCATTGAGTGATTGCAGTTAGTTGCAACTCAGTGATTAAACAAAATATATATGTGTGTGTGTGTGTGTGTGTGTGTGTGTGAGAGAGAGAGAGAGAGAGAGAGAGATCACTGATTGTTATCTCATTCAGATAAATTTCTCTGTTACAGTCTCCTACGCCCAACCATTTCTTTTTCCTTGTTTTGTCCCCTAGCAAGGCAGAAAGCTACTTAATCAAGCTCGGTTTTATTGAGCAACTCTCCTCCCAGCATAACGTGTCTTTAAAATGTTGTGACTGCAAGTCAGCAAGTTCAGTTTTGTCACTTTAGTTGATTAGTATGGTCCCATCGGCTGCCAGCTGCTGCCTGAAACTGACTGGACCTTAATCAGAGTTACTCTGAAGACTTTTGTTGTTCTAAAACTTGGGAACTGCTTGGGAACT